AGGCATGAGCGTGACAAAAGGCACCTGCCCTAAATAGAGAAGAGGAGAATTAGCTCTGCTCCATGATTTCAAGAGGGAAACAGTCCACCAGTGTGATTACTGGAGAAAGGATTAATGTCATTTATACACAAAGAGTGCCTACGAATAATGAAGAAAGAACCTCGTAAAGACATATAAAGACAAATAGTGAAGCTTACGCAAAAGGAAATGTGCCTGGTAATTATTTACAAAATTGATCATGATTAATAAAGATTGCTAAGTAGAACAATCAGAAGGAAATCATTTTGCATCTTTTATTTTAATGGAATATGGTACACGTTGCATTGGAAATACCAAACATTTACACGTTTACATTATGAACGTCAGTGAGGTTTTATAAATTTATTTTAAGAAGAAATTTGTCAGGGGGGTATAAGTACATTCTTATTCAGTAACCAACATTCTGGGCATCTCTTCTGGGTATGATAATCCTGAAGTCAGGAAAATGTACAAGAATAGAGATGTTAATGTGTGTGTGTGTGTGTGTGTGTGTGTGTGTGTGTGTGTGTTTAAAGATCACTGTTGAAAAGAAGCCTTAATGTCCAACAGACTACAGGTTTAATAAATGGTGACATATCCGTTGCCTAGATGAATTGCTAAGTATTCTAATTATGACGACGACGAAACAACACGAGGAGCCTTTTAAATATCCAATTAGGTTTAAAATAAAAAATAATATTTAATGGGAATTGCACTATGATTATAATAGCTAACATTTATGTAGCAGACTTTATTGCCAGCCACTTTGTTAAGTACTTTGCATTGACTATCCCATTGAATCTTTGTAACAGCCTTGTGAGATTAGCATCCTATTTATAGATGAACAAACTGACCTGAAAGAATTGTTAATCATCTAAAGTGATAGAGCTAGGAAGCTGTCTCAAGTACCCTGCGCTCAGCTCTGGAATCCTTAACCTGTACTCTTCACCAGTCTCGCTGGTGAATTTTGGATGGTGACTATCCCCCAAAGGCCTATGTGTCAAAGGCTTGGTCCCCAGGCTGACACTACTGGGACTTGTGAGAGGTCCTTCAGTCACTGGGAATGTGCCATCAAAGGAGACTCCGTGACCCCAGCCTATCTTGTCTCTCTCTCTCTGTTTTCTGGCTCATAATGTGAACACTCTCTCCTAATTTGATGTGCCACCTTTGCCAGAGTCTCAAATCAACGGGGCTGCTCAATCTTGGACTTGAACCACCAGAACCCTGAGCTAAATAAACCTTTCTCTTCATAAGTTAACTGACTCAGGTATTTTGTTATAGGACTGTGAAACCAACTAATTTTACTTTCTATAAAAAGAGAAGAAATGGATAGCAACATGGAAAATAAAGAAAGTACAGTCTGAAGAGAGTTGTTATTTTTATTCCCTGGTTTTAGAAAATTTATTTTTTTATCTGAGGAATATTGACCCTCCCTGTGATTTAAATTGCAAATATTATTTCCAATTTGTTGTTTGAACTGTGACTACCTTTTACAGTAGAAATCTATACGTGCTTGCAATTTCTAACCCAGGTTCATATTATAGATTCCATATTGATCTGAAGTAGAAAAAGTACAAAACAATCTTCTTAAGTCCTTGAAAAGTAAGTGCCTCGTGGAGGTTATTGCAGCACAAGGAGCTCCTAAATTATCAAAAGTATCCTTTGAGTCTTCTATCACTTGTAATATAGTTATAATCCAAAAAACACAGAGAAGGCAGAATTTCATCACCCCCATGACAATTTTGCATGAATGCCCTAAAAATATAGTAATTTATAATCTATCTATTATTTTCATGTCTTTTAAATCATTAACATTTAAACACCTGGAGCTGACTTTCAGTGATTAACCTTTAAAAAATGAATAGTCTATTTACCCATGTGCTTCAAAGGTCTTGATACATAACAATAGCTCTTTTTATCTTTTACCGAAATGGTGGAAGACAGAACAGAAAAGGACAAAATAGAATGGAGAGGAAGGAAGGATCCATAAATGGAGACTGGACAGGAACTAGGGAAACATGTAACATAATCTCGTCCACCAAGACGATTGTGGCAGGACAGAATTTTATTCTCTAACTCTCTGAATGCTTTTCCTAAGAGAGCAGAATTGGAAGAACTTCATCCTCAAGACATTTTAAGGAAGATACTATATAAAAGTAAAAGATATTTATTTTATATCTGCTGTGTCCTGAAATGAAGGGCATGGGAAAGAATTATGGCTTTTTAAGCTGAACTAGGTTAAGATGAGGCCCAGGCCACTTCTGATGGAGAAGATTTGGCCTGTTTGCCTGTCAAGGATTCCAGCAATGGTTTAATTATGGGAAAGACCTTCCAAGCCGGGGAAGGTGGGAAGGAAAGCAACCAATGATTCATTGAAACTTTGCTCATGTGAGTTATGGAGGAATATTATGCAGGTCAAACTGTTATAAGTGGAAAGCAGAAACACTGAATTGGAAAGAAGTAGACTTTGCAAATTCTGAAGTCTGCAAATACCCCACATATGTGTGCCTGTATCTATATGAATATACATAATAGTATGTAAAATACATAGATATTGTGTGTTCCTCTTAAAACTCCAGAAGAAAGTTTTAACATTAGTTCTCAGAAGTCAGAGAAAAGAAGGAATAAAATTTTCAGGATACTATCATATGCTAAATATTGTGCATGCCTGATCTTCATCAGTCCTTCTAATTATCCCATGAAAATTATTGGTTTTAAAGATGAGGAAACAAAGGCTAATAGCTTTTCAAAGTTTACTCACAAGAAGTTTTGGGGCCAGGACCCATGGCTGAGTCCGCAGCCTTTTATTATTTTTTCCATGATACCGGCTGACTTTAAAATATATTGATGGCTTCCCACACGACTACAACGGATTTGTATCTCAAATCCATTAGTTCTCAACAAAGAGCCACAAGACACTGAAAAGCTGGACCAAGTTTTATTTTTCATTAAGTGGAGTTATGAGAATAAACAAGAAATATTGCTAACATAAAATACAATGCACCCTTCTGCTCAGAAATGAGTTAGGAATCCAAGGAAAAAAAAAAAACCAAACCAAGTTGCAACTAATAAGTAGATATTTCTTTTGGCTGAAGCAACCACACAAAGATTTCTTACTATTCATGGGGTTACAGCAAAGCCTGGAGAACTCTTGGATCTTTTATTGGAACAGCAATTATCCTCTAACGGAAACAGAAAGATCTTTTTGTTTGTAAGATAAACCACCTGGGTTACCTTATCATGACTCTGTGAGAATCTTGGAAGTATTATCTTAATAGAATTGTGAAGTAAAGATGCAATTTGAGGATGCTCCATTATGTTGTACAGTATCCCTCTACGTTACTTAAAGTATTTTATGAACAGTAACTGAGTTATTTAATAATTGACAGAAATCCAGTCTCCATCTCTTCTCTGACAAATGACCTTATCAATTTATTTTAAAGTTTTAGACAGAGATTAAACTGATAAAAATGCTTTGAGCAGAAGACCTGATCTCTTGCCAAATGGTTCCAGATCCTTTTAAAGAAGAGACAGGAGGTGTACAAGTTTTGGATAGGATAAAAATGCTTCTGGAATGTAATTCTGGACTATAAAGTTTTGACTTAACCTCTTCAATCTCGTGTCCTCATCTTCTTTCTTTCATAATAAAAAACCCTGCTTTTCATCAGGAAAACATTATCCATTCATTTATATTTCCATAACACATTAGGCTTCATGAGGGTCTCAACTCCATCTGGATGGTGTTTGATTTTGTAAGAGCCACTGGCATAGTTTTAATCTTCAAAAGGAAGACAATCAATCCCAGATGTCTGGGAATCCTGTTTGGGGTTTGGGCTCAGGACATTGATGTGGGGCTCCTAGCTCTACCCTTTTCTCTGTGGCCAAGAAGCTCAAACAAGTCACTTAAGCGTTTGAATGGCAGTGTCTTCTCCTGCAGAGTTACATCAACGGTACGTGCGTGGATTCCATGAAATCTTAGAAGTAAAAGAGGTTCTGTTTGCAACTGCCAAGGAGAAGGGGCAGTTGCCCAAGAAGTCCTTCAGCAAACTTTATTTTTTGAAAAAGGAGTGACTTAACTCGAAACTTGACTTAAGTAATTTGGTTTGAATCTTCGTGGAGATGGGATTATTGTTCACTGGAGGTCACGTGGCCTAGCACCCGGCCAGACAAGACCTACTTTCTCAAATCACAGCTCTTGAATGAGGAGAAGCATTAACCAGTCAGTGAATCAGGAGATAACTATCAAATGCTCACAAGGCACACATGTGGAACAGATGGGAAATATGTGGCTACTTATTAATTGATTGCAAGTTATATGAGATCAGCTACTTGGTCCAAATGTCTCATCTCCATTTAGTTTCATAGTATCTAAAACAGTTTCTGGTATAATATAGATGTTTAATAAATATGGGTGACACAAATCATTCTTTGGATCACATGTATAGGAGCGTAGTGGAGGGATAGGAGATGCACATGAACTTGAAGGACCACTAAATCCCAATCTGTGGACCTTGGAGGTCAGAGATAGGCAAAGCGTTCGGGGGAGCAGAGGGGCTTCCCAGAGTAGTTGGGAACTAGTGACCTTGGTAGCAGCAGTGATCTTTTCAGAAGTACAAAAGAATCAGGATGGCCTTCTTAGTGGGGAATGGCAGGTGCAGGCTAAGATGTGAGCGCAAGGATGGTGGGAAAGGGAGAGATGTCCAGAGATATGGACGGTCCATAGCATTCATGGGAGGGGCTTTGTCTTCCCCTGTTTTTTTTTTTTTTTTTATATTGATAGATGGCTTGAGCCATTTAGATTCCCCTCATCTCAGCAGTTCTGTGATGGCCTAGTTGCAGCACTCAACAGAGAAGGCCTGGATATGACAGCATCTCTGAGATTTTTGGAACATGAAAATTGCCATTTCAAACCCTTAAATTGTTTTCCGTCTCTCAGACTTGCATTTGCATTGATCATTGCAGCTCTGTCTCTTTTCTTTCAGGTAAGTCACTGCAAAGGGCTTTTAGATCCCAGAATGTTAAGCAAGCCCACTCAAGTTCCTGGAGAGGATGGAAATCCTGACCTACTCGAACACAGGGGAGGTAGGCCAACAGCAGGTTTTACAAAGTCGCCTAGCTGGGCATTCTGTAGCGTTGGCTGGGGTGGGGGTGATGTTTTCTTTATGCCTGTGTCAATTTACTTTAGAGAGATGGCTACTCCTCTTTTGACAGTGCATTGCTAGAGACAGAATTTTGCCATCAGAGCAGGCAGTTAGCTTGACTCAGATGGACAGTAAAACTCTAATATACTGGCTTCAGTACGACTCAACATAGATTTCATATTTTGAGATGCAATATTTTTATTTTATTTTATTTTATTTTTTTATTTAATACCAAATAAAAAAAAATACAGAGTGGGTATGATTCTTTCCTAATGTGTTTTCATTGCATAGAAAGACTGGGTCTCCAAGAAACAAGTGGGCATGGCCATTGTTCA